GGGCTGGGAAGCCAGCCAATTAGGAAGCCGGGCGGCAAGTCATTACTCGCCCCCCAGCTTTTTGATTGGGCAGAAAGCCGGCTTCATGCTCCATCACCTGGTGATGAGGGAGCATGGAGCCGGCCAATTAGGAAGCCAGGCGCCGTGTAATGACTTGTTGCCCGGCTTCCCGATTGGCCAGCTTCTCGAGCAATCAGGAAGCCGGGCAACGAGTCATTACACGTCGCCTGGCTTCCTTAATGGGACTTCCGGTATCCGCATCGGCGAGTACCGAAAGAAATATCCGTACTCTGTACCGAAAAACCGGTATCGGTGCATCCCTAGTGTCCCTGCAGAGCGGTCCGGCACGGTTGTGGTGGTATAGAGCACCTTTTGGTTGTCTTTGTTCTCTTCCGGAACATTCCTCGGATCGGCGGTGTCCTCCGGTTGCGCTGCCTTTGGTCCGGTCGCGGTCTCGGATACGGTGCCGTGGTTCCCTGTGCGTTCCGGCCTCCCGTAGCAGCCGCCTTCTTCAGCGATGTAGTCCGGGCCGATGTCTGCTAGGAACAATATACAGGTAACAAGAATCAGAACCGCTCCTGCAGAGAGGATATCAGGCGCCTCCGCTGAGGGGCTGTGCGCAGGTTTTCACTGAGCGCGCGCGGTCACTTCGGGATTTTGATGCGACAGTTTTAACCCTTCAAGGCTGCCAATGAGGGAGGGCTGGCCCCCATTGGGTCCAGCAGGGTTTGCCTGTGCGTGGCCCACCCAACTCCCCCCCTAGCAGAACTTCCTGCATAGACTGTATGCATCCATCAGCGCTGAGAATGATTGCACCCTCCCATCCGCCGGCATGGCCGATGTTTCCATGGTGACGGGGGACACGGCTGCTGTCTCTCAAGATGTGATCTGGTGGTTTCCGGGCTTTGTTTGCCGTGTGCATGATGGTCAGTGATGGGTGGAGGGGGGCAATGTGCCGGGTGCAAATCAGGGGGAAATGATCAGGTAGGGTATACGGGGCCCCCATGATTTCTAATGGTGGCCCCGTAGCCCTTTACCCATCACAATCTGTATAATAGCATTCTCCAGTACAATG